TGTTGTTTGGCGGGTCCGGGCTGGGGATTCGAACCCGCCACCTTAGGTGTACGTGGCTGGCGCCTTAGCCGGTTGAGCCATAGGAGCCGAGCCAAGGCTCTGTCTTAAAAAAAAAAAAAAAATGTTCCTGATTCTGCTGGCTTTTTGATTTTTTGCTCCTTTCTCCCAACAAGGACATCATTCACTGCTGACTTTCTGGGGGATGAGTTGGGGGTACAGTTAGTTTCTCTCTGGCCAAGTGGGTTTTTCTCCCTCCAGAAAATCATCCTCTGTTTTTATCAGTTTCCTTTGACTTGTCAGCAACATTCAGAACATGATCTGTAGTTTCTCTATCACCAGTAAAGTAGACCCTATCTCCTTATCTTTCCATTTATTCTTCATATCTTAATAAAAAGTGGCCTGAGGGGACGTGGTAAAAGATTATACTTGTGGCCGTTTATATATTACACTCGTGGCGTTTGGCTTAGGTCAGAAGTTCAAACACAAAGAACGCTAAACACTTCTACTTTTGAATGTTGAAAAAGGTTGAAGGCCCAGATTTTGTAAGGCCTGCGTGATGGACTAAGATATTTCATGAAATCTCTTTTAACATTATATAATTTGTTAAATACTATCAGGCCTCAGTATGCAACCAGTAAAGTCAAATTGAGAGAGAAACGAAATACTTGCCTTTAAAAGGAGGAAGGAAGGGAAAAATAGTAGAAAATAGTTTGCTTTCTTAGGATAAGCTGTATAATTGACCAGTAATGGAATGAGTTTGTTATTCTTAGTTGAATTGACAATGCTGAATTCTTTTTTTAATTCAAGTTACAAAAAATGATTAGGGAACACACACACACTACCTTCCGTGGTGAAGGTGATGGGTCAAGGTGAGACAGCTGTCTAAGTGCCATGACAGTGAAGCTTTCTGATTATGGGTGTCTCCTGAGCTGGGAGCCCACCGGGCGGAGAGAAGGGCTTCCCTCCAGCACGGCCTGTCCTGCTTTATGCCTGGCTTTCGCCAAGATGCAGGTACTTGAGTCTCGCTAAAACATCCCAGTTATAAAATTGATCTGAGGGCAAATTGTGCTTAGAAATTAGGTCTTTTGTAGTGATATTGCTATGCACGTTTTGGAAATTTTAATAAAAAAGCACCTAAAAGTATCAAGCTTCCCACTAGCGGTGTGTTGTTTCCTAGGCCATCCTTATGGGAAAATAAAGAATTCTCTGTCTGCTCTAGTTTTGCTAAAGAACCTTTTATTTACCCTGTCAGTGAGGCTGGGCCAGAGATAGGGAGCCTGTGGAACTTGTGGGAAGCGTGAATGCAGAAGAGGGCCTGGGTTGGTGTTTTCGTCATTTCAGAGTGGAGTAGCTGAGAGCGGGTGGTGGGGACACAAAGCTTTCTGTGTGCCGATGAGTTGCCGTGCTGGGCATCCTGCTGCCTGCCTGTCAGGGAGTCTGCTGTGCGCCAGCCGCTTGATCCTGCAGGTAACACCCAGTCCTAGGGTGTGCTTGCTCTTTCTCTTATCCTTTCTTCCTTCCTGTTTTTTTAGGTTCTGGTTCTGTTTCTTTGCTTTAGTTTTAAAAAGTAGACTTTAAAGGTACTTCCAGCCAGTACTTCCAGTGCCCTGTTCCCGTTTGCATCTAGCAGATGGTTGCTGTGTAATTATTTGCTCTTCTCCTTTCATGAGTTTGTAGGTTTTTTTCTTTTTTAGAAACAGAGTTTCACTCTGCCGCCCTCAGTAGAGTGCTGTCCTCACGGTTCACAGCAACCTCCAGCTCTTGGGCTTAAGTGATTCTCTCGCCTCAGCCTCCTGAGTAGCTGGGACTGCAGGTGCCCACCACAATGCCTGGATATTTTTTTGTTATTGTTGCAGTTTGGTGGGGGGGGCAGGTTCGAACAAGCCACCCTTGGTATATGGGGTTGGCGCCCTACTCACTGAGCCACAGGAGCTGCCTGTGAGTTTGTAGTTTTGTGGCCAGGTTTGTAGTGACTGTGTAGTGAAGACAAAGGGTGTTGGGATCCAATCTGGGCCCCCGTTTTGGCTTTGTTATTTTTTAAGCTGTAATCTTAGGCATGTTAGCTTCTTAGGGCTCTGATTCCTTCCTTCCTTCCTCCCTTCCTCTCTTTCTCCTTCCACCCTTTCCCTCCCTCCCTCTCTTTCTTTCTTTCTCTCTTTCCCTGCCCCTTCCTCCCTCTCCCCTCTCCCTTTCTCTCTTCTCTCCCTCCTTCCTCTCTCCCTCCCTCACTTCCTTTCTCTCCCTCTCTCTCCCTCCCTCCCTTATTTATTTTGGGACAGAGCCTCACTCTGGCACTCTATTGAATGCCAGGGCATCGTTATAGCTCTCAGCAACTTCAGTTTCTTGGGCTCAAGCAATCCTCTTGCCGCAGCCTCCCAAGTAGCTGGGACTACAGGTGTGCACCACAGTGTCTGCCTAGTTTTTCGGTTTTCAGTAAAGATGGGGTCACATTCTTGCTCAGGCTGGTCTCAAATTCCTGAGCTCAAGCAATCCACCCACCTTGGTCTCCCAGAGTGCTAGGATTATGGGCATGAGTCACCATTCCTGGCCCAATTTCTTTTATTTATGAATGAGAATAATAATGTTTATCTTCTTGAATATACATCTCTTTGGATTTTGGTGAATGCTCAGCGTAGTTCTTAATACACAGTAAGTACCAAATACAGTCAACCGTTCTCGTTTCCCCCGTCCCAGCACACACATATATACCCTACCCACCTTGTGTTGATTTCTTGGCTACTTGTTATGTGTGGGGAGCTATTCTGAATGCTTAAAGTTTTGGAAAGAGCTGGTTCTGAATTGCCAAAAATTTTCTTCTGTTTTCTTTGACTGGTGTATATAGAGGGGCAGGTGCACCCTGGTGGATATTTGCTTGTATTTTGAAGTTTATATAGTTTTCTCTCCTTTCTTTGACTTTTGCAATTAAACTTGAGGTGATGGAGAGAAGTTTCTGAAACTCCACATACTTTTTGGTCTCTACTCTGGAAAACTTCCAGTGCTCCTAAGTGGTATGGCGAGGCGTAATCTGATTGGATTTGTGCAGCACAGCCCACTTAAGCAACGGCTCCCACGGCAGATAACAGCATGTCGGTGTAGAATGGACCATAAAAACTTCAATTCTTGACATGTATTGGCGGCAGTACACAAAAGGCAACACAAAACACAGATATATCCTGGAAAAGATAAGTGTGGGAAGAGGAACTGTCTTATCATCAAAACAATTGAGAAATGTGTGAGAGTAAAAGCAGGAAACAGGGGTCAGAATCACAGGGTCTGCTTTGAAGATGCTGGCAGGAGGCTCGAGGAAGCCTGAAGGGGGAGCCAGGGGCAACAGTGAGTGGGGGGAGGCTCTGGTCCTCCCTAAGGAGCATTTGGGCAGGGGCAGCAGTGCGTCCCCTTGGATAGATCAGGATGTGATGTAGTTTTACAAGATCTCTGTGTTTGGCGCTTTGAAAGGGCCATGGCTTTGTTACCCTGATAGATCTCTTGGTGTCTCATTTGAGTTCATCAATACCTGCTAGTGAAGTTCTTGGGGGGCAAAGTCTTGGTCTCTACCCTGAGATTATAGAAGTTCCCTGGTTCAATGGAAGTGTGTGTCCTAAAGAAAAAGGAGAATTGATTGTCATTTATTCTTAAATCAATATAAATGTTTCTGTCCCTCATCAGTGACACACTTTTTGAATGAAAACTAGCTTCCCATCTCTGAGGCCCCGGGCCCAGAAGTGGCAGTCACTTCTCTGCTTCCCCAGAAGCCCCCCAGAAGAGGAGATGTTGGTATTGAGAACCCACAAGTGAGGGAATAGACGAGACTGGAATTCTGACATCTCCAGCCTCTGACTGCACTGCACACATTAACTTGTTGGCATCCAGAACAGATGAGTGCTCTCATTATCCCTGATCCACGCGTCAAAGATATGATGAATCAGATCTATGTCCTTCTTTCAGGAGGCTGACAGTCTAGTGGGGGAGATAAGAAAAGTGTTTAAAATATGTAGAATGCAAGATACAAAGCATTAAATGCTGTGAGAAGAACAGCTAAAAGGAGGTGGGTATTCAGGAAAGGTAATCAAGGAAGACTTCTTGGAGGAGGGCATATTTTTCCAATTCTTCAAAGATTTTCTGAAAGGCAGAGAGAGAGAGAGGTGGGCCTGAGAGGGGAGAAGGTCACTCCAGACAGAGGATGCCGCATGGATGTTCCCATAGAGGGTGCAGATGAGGGCCTGGATGCGGGAAGCAGATGGGTGACTGCACAGGGGGTGAGGAGGGCCTTACCCCAGGGAGGTGAGGGGAAGGAGCTAAGATGATACAGAACCAACTTTTTGGTTGTGAAGAACACAGGTGAGAGGAGTCTGAGTTGCTGCCGAGCTTCTGAATTTGGGTGCTTAGGGGGCAGGGAGTGCTGTTCACAGGAATGAAGAACAAAGGAAGAGGCAAGGAAGGCAGCTGGTGAATTCACTTAAAATGGTAATCCTACAGCTGGTGAATTCACTTAAATGGTAATCCTACTGAGTCTGAGGTGCCTGTGGGCATCTCGGGGGATCAGGGGGTCAGGCCATGGAGGGTTAGAGCAGGTCTGAGTTCAGAGAAGGGCTGGGCATAAAAGTTGGGGAGTTATTTACATAGAAATAATAGTTAGAAAAAGAATACATGAGTTTGCTGATAGAGAATGAAGAATGCAGAGTTGCATTCTTGGGGATCATTGTAGCTTTTGGAAAGAGGGAAAGAAAAGCCAGGAAATATTATCACAAAAAAAGTGACCTGTGGGAGGAAAACAGGAGAGTGGGTTTCTCTGCGTTACAAGGAAGAGGAGAATCTTGAGGAGATAGGAGGATTACCGTGGGGTCAGGAAAATGGAGAATGGAGAAGAGACCATTGGATATGAGAATTCAGAGGTCATGATGACCTTGGAGGGGGCTGTCTTGGTAGAGTAGGGACAAAAGCCCGGGGGCAAGAAATTAAGGAGCAAATGGGTAGCCAGGAAGTGGAGGCAGTGGATAGAAGCTGAGCTTTCAAGCTGGCCTGGGCCTGTAGTCCTGGCTATTCAGGAGGCCAAGGTGGGAACTCAGCTTGAGCTTGGGAGTCCAAGGCTGTAGTGTGCTATGATCATTCCTGGGAATAGCCACTGTACTCCTGCTTGGGCAGTGCAGGGAGAACACGTCTCTAAACAAACAATCGAAGAAAAGAAAATGAAAAACTGAGGTTTGGCAGCTGTAGCTCAGTGGCTAGGGCGCTGGCTACATATATCGGGGTTGGCAGGTTTGAACCTGGCCCAGGCCTGCTAAACAACAGTAACAAAAAAAAATAGCCAAGCATGTGGCGGGTGCCCATAGGTCCAGCTAATTGGGAGGCTGAGGCAAGAGACTTGCTTAAGCCCTAGAGTTTGAGATTGAGGTTGCTGTGGGCTGTGATGCCATAGTACTCTACAGAGGGTAACATACCAAGACTCTGTCTCAAAAAAAAAAAAAAAAAAAAAAGAAAAAGAAAAAAGAAAATGAAAAACTGAGGCTTAAGTGCTTGCTTTAAAAAAAAAATTACACTTTCAAAAAATTTGGTGGTAAATCTAAGGACAGCCAAGATTCAAGAAAATAGCAAAGAACAAAATGGCAGAAAGAAAAGGTGGCTGAGGGAGTGAAAACAGGAGTGGGCTGGCCAGGGGCAGTGTCTTTCCTGTGTAGTGACCCAGGCAGGGAGAGAGCTTGGAGCGCAGAGGGGAGGGGAGGAGAGGAGGAAGCCACGGGCTCTGCAGGACCGTCCAGGCCCCTGGCCGAGTCTGTAGGTGAAGCTGAGCCCTGCACTGGAGGGGCTCTGGGAGAGTCCAGGACAAAGATGTTGAAGTGAAAGGAAGGCTGAACCTCTGGAGGACACGCTTGGGTTTAGGTAAAGTGATTTGTAGTGGAACTTGTTGGCCCAGTTTCCTGACCTTCCTTGCGAACTCTGGGCAGTTAAGGAGGAGCAAATGTGAATGTTGTACTCTGCTCAGATGGGCATAGGAGATAGAAGGAAAGCAGCCAAGCCTTCCTGAGGGACAGGGATGAGGACTGGGCTTTGCCCACACACAGGGTTCCAGGGGTATGAAGCAAGTGGGACCAGTGAGTCTGCATGTCCCCAGGAAGTGGCAGCGGGTAGAGGGCAACAGCAAGGAAAACAGGCCATTATGCAGAAAAGAACCAAGAGGGAAGAGCAGCATGGCCCTGCAAAGCAGTGGAAGTTACATCAGGTTCCCTTTCCTCCCTCACATTCAGTCAAGGCTCCAAGGAGTTAAGATGGATCCAAGGGGATGACCGTGTTTATAAGAGGTGCAGGGGGAGAGGAAGAAATGGTCCAAACAGGTGTGTGGGGTGAGGAAGGAAGAGCAGCAAGGACAAGGGAGGTGGCCATGTGTCTGGTGGCCACGCTGGAGGGGAGATGCAGGGCCTCCCCACCAAGATGTTGACCTTCACCTCGTGTTTCCTGCCCCTAGGAGCTCTTACAGGCAAAGCAGGATCTTCAAGATCTGCTGATTGCCAAGGAGGAGCAAGAAGACCTCTTGAGAAAGCGAGAGCGGGAACTGACTGCCCTGAAGGGAGCCCTGAAAGAGGAGGTTTCCAGCCACGACCAGGAGATGGACAGGCTGAAGGAGCAGTATGATGCGGAGCTGCAGGCCCTGAGGGAGAGCGTGGAAGAGGCCACCAAGGTGAGGATCGCAGCAGGGCGAGAGAATCTGGCCTGGGACAGGTGCAAGGTAGGACCGCCTCTCTCACACCACGCAGACTGTCTTCCTTTTAATTACAGGATGAAACTCATTTTCATCCGATCATGGAAATAGAGCTTGTTAACAAAGAACAAGCTCAGTGTTTCTGCTGTTGACTTGGACATTGGCTAAATCCTGTTGTAGGAGGGGAGGATTAAAGGCCCTCAAAGAAATTCTTAAAAGTTCTGCAGCCCCTTGCAGAGTGGAGCTGTACTCCCCGAGGCATTCCTAAAGGTCAGAGGCTTAGGGCATTGTGTGACTTTGCTAACCGGCAGAGTTGCAGACAGGATCCAGATTTCTGGAACCCTTCACCCCTGCCCTTGTCTGTTCCTTTTGATTTTGTGCAGTCTTTTGTCAGACAATTCAAGTTCTTTCTCCAGCAGGGTTGAGTCACAAGAGGGTTAATTGGCTGAATTGCTCAACTCCTAACAAGATAATTTTACTCTTAATTGAATTCTTGGCTCCTACAAATAGACTCAACATTACATTGAAGCATTTTGGTGCAGACCTGATGTTGGCTATTGAAGAAGAGAAAAACAATATTTTGAAGGGGAAAATGCTTTGAAATACCGTGCCATCTTTAGGGAAAGAGGGGAATTACAGAGTATAAGATTTTCAGTCTCTTCAATATGTAGGTAAACTATGACGCAGAAAGAACTCTTGGTATTGTTTATTCTGCACTGACAGCGCAGAGCTAGCAACCCTCTCTCTCTCTCCTAAGCCCCATGGTGAGTCACCAATTTTCAGTTATGGCACGGTAATTGTAAATGACAAGAAGTGAAAGATGGGTTTGTTTGTTGTAACAATAAAAGGTCTGGGAAATAGTCTGTTTGGGGTTATTACAACTTGGAGATGGTTTAAAAAAGTCTCTTGTCAATTTGCATATCTTAGCTTTTGTTGAGATTTGATAGAACTTAAGAGAGGAAAGTGAACCTGATTTAATTTTCGTTGCTTTGAGGGACATGCCTATCTTTTGCATCTCATTTCCTTTCTGTGTAATAGTGTCCTTGCTGTTGACCTCTGTGTGCTGTTGCTTCCTCGGGCACAGGCCAGCAGGCTCTGAGGGGAAGGGTTCTCCTGTGTTCTCATCCACCTCCTCACCACCCTTCGCCCCTGCCTGGGAGCTGGAGGTGACTTGGTGTGTTCTGGGTGGCTCATTTAAGGGGATTTGAGAACGATGTTTGGGCATTTGTGTTTGTTGTCATTTGTCTGTATCAAACTCATGCCACACATAGAATGGAAGATATTTTATCAGACGCTTCTAGGTTCTTGATTGACCCTTTTGGACATGTAAGTGGGGAAAGGATACGTGGCAGGTGAAGGAGGATATCTTTGTTGTGTGGGCCTGAGATCCGCAGTAGAGACTTAGGTTACTGCATTTGGACCCTTTTGAAGATCTCAGGTTGTATTTTGCCTCACAGTATTTTCATTTTGCCAGTTCAAGAGAGATAACTGCATTGACCCGTATCAGCCTGAGAAAGAGATAACTGGTGAGTTAGTCAAGACATGTATCGCTGGCAGAGAGAGTAGGGCTTCACACAAAGGGGTGCGCCTTGGTATCAGCAGGGGTGGGAGCCAGTAGTATATTCTACACCACTGCCAGCGTCTTTCCCTACAACCCAAATCTGATCAACGCAGGCCTCTGCTTAAATAGCTTGCTTGGCTCTCTGTAGCCCCAGACGTAACTTCAAAGTTATTTGCGTGTGGATGGTAGAAGGCCCTTTTCTGCCCAGCCCCATCTCCACAAAACTCCACATTCCTTTAGCTCTCCCATCACTTTGCACACATAGCGTGACTTACCCCCACTTTTCCACCTCACCAACCTCTTCTCCTCCTCCAAGATTCTCCCGGAATGTCACCTTCCCTATGAACGTGCCCTAGTTAGCTCTGCTCCCATTGGTGGAGTGACTCACGCCTTCCTTAAGGTTTCTGTTGACCTCTGGCCATCCCGCTGCTGCTATGGTTTGCATCATACCCTGTTGGAATTTATTATATATCTACCTCCTCCTTCTTAAGCACAGCAGCCATCTTTATCCCTTTTCTTTTCCTAGAGTGGTACCAACAAACTCAAGTACCAGGACAGACAGGGAGCGTAAATTCATAAAGTGCTGGGTTAGTGTTGTTGGGGTGACAGTAGGGTATGGTGGGGACTGTGGCAAGCTGGACAGCATGTCCTTTGCCCTGGGGTCAGTGGCTTCTTGCCCTAGCTGGAAGTGGCCAGTGAGGGAATACTGGGCCCATGGTGCTAGATCTTTTGATTTTTCTTTTTTTCTCTGGGTGTTTTTTTTTTTTTTTTAATTGTTGCAGAATTATTAAGGGTACAAAGAACCAGGTTACACTGCTAGCATTTGTTGGGTAAAGTCCCTCTAGATCTTTCCATTTTTTAAGAGAAGCCAGATACCAGGATGTTTCTGTGAGATCTCCCTGCTTCTAAATTAAACTTGCTTAAAATGAAGATAAGCAAATACCAAGCATAACCTATCTGCAGATCAACCGTCTGTGATCTTAGCCCCCTAAGCTCAGCACAGTGCCTGGCATACAGTCACATCTGTGCAATGTCAGTGGCAGACAAGGAACCCCCCCCCACCCCCTGCTGGATTTTGAGTCTCTGCTGTTTGTGGTTCCTGTTGGGTTTTTTCCAGTGGTCTTTTATGGAACTTTGTTGTTATTCTGTGAATTTCTGTACCTTGCTTTCAAGTAAGTGTCCCTGTATTTTCTTTTCTTTTCTTTTCTTTTTCTTTTTTTTTTTTGCAGTTTTTGGCCAGGGCTGGATTTGAACCCGCCACCTTCAGCATATGGGGCTGGTGCCTTACTCCTTGGAACCACAGGCGCCGCCCCAGGTGTCCCTGTGTTTTCTTAAAGAGGATCGTGATTGTGTTTGTATGCCTTATTAACGTTTGTTTCTGAAGGTGGCTGTTGAACAAATGTGATAGCAATATATTTTATAGGGAAAAAAGTGTCAATAAGGTAGATTTTTTTGTTACATTATTTACATGTTGGTATTCTAGAATAAAATTTTAAGATTCTCTTAAATTTGTTTATTTATTTATTTATTTATTTATTTATTGAGACAGAGCCTCAAGCTGTCACCCTGAATAGAGTGCTGTGGCATCATAGCTCACAGCAACCTCTAACTCCTGGGTTCAAGTGATTCTCCTGCCTCCGCCTCCCAAGTAGCTGGGACTACAGGCACCCGCCACAATGCCCGGCTATTTTTTGGTTGCAGCCATCATTGTTGTTTGGTGGGCCCGGGCTAGATTCGAACCCGCCAGCGCAGGTGTATGTGGTTGGCACCTTAGCCACTTGAGCCATAGGTGCCAAGCCAAGATTCTCTTAATTTGTATTCTAGCATTTATCTTTTTGCTGCCCTAGGAGAAGGACCCACCTACCATTGTGACTACAAGTTGACATTTCTTTAAAGGATTGCATTGCATTAAAAGTTCATTTCCTTGATAGGCTTTAGGAGGCAGCCCAACCTCCTCTCAGAAGTTTTTCTTATTTTTTGCCCCTGCCCCAGGTCTAAAAACTCCCTGAAGTATGATTTAATCATTGTCAAATAACAAGCACTCCATCCTGGCCTGAGCTTAAGCACTAGACATTTTAATGTACTGGAACATTTGGTGAAAACGGTCAGATTTTATTAAGGACTTTATACAGGTATTCTGAACAGATACTTTGTATTGGTATTTTTGTACAAACAGCCACAACTTTTAAAGAACAGATTGAGTGCCTGATGTCCAAGAATTCATGAATGCCTGGAGGATGTGGGGTTCCCTCCCTCTGCAGAGCAAACCTCACAGAGCAGTGGTATGTGGGTTATTCTGTGAACTATTTATTATATTTAATTTCCTTTCTTATAAGGAAATAGATCTTTATAGTCTGGTAGTAAAGGGATTCTACCTTTTAAAAGAGATCAAACACTCTTTTAAAGGCCTATTAAGTACTTTGGCACCTTATTTCATAATGAATTTTTTCTCTGTTATTTGTCCTTTTATGCTTTTTCTGGTTTCATGAAGGCTTGTCTTTGCATTTGTGGCCGTGGTTGGAACCCATTAGAGGGAATGGACGCATAATGTGAGTCTCATGAAGATGTGCACAGCTGTTTGCTTCTGTTTTCAGACCAAATACTTCCTGTGTCTTCCACTCTCGGGCAAAAGGGAAGCACAGACAGTATAGGGTCTTAAGATTTCTTAGTGAGTAGGCTCAGCTTAAAGTCAGCTCCTCCAAGAATTTCCCTGGTTGTTTCTTGGTCCTTACAATTTCCAGAGACCTGGGATTGTTGGAAATTTTGTTCTTGATTTTATCTTCCCTGCCATACTAGGGACTGTCTGCATTTTCCACTTGGCATCCACGTGCGTGGTGTGTAACACATGTTCAGTAAATGTCTGAGCATTGGAGGAATGATGCATAATGACCAAGATGCCCTTACAGTCCCTGACAATCCCGAGACCAGGCATTACCCAGTTTTTTAATTCTCATTTTTACACTAAAATTATTACTTGTAAAAAGGAACAAATTCTGTCTGTTAGGAACAGTATCGTAATGTTAATGTTGACTTGGAAGGACTAATTTTGCCTCTACAAGCTTCAGGCGTTTTGATGATGGTGCAAATGCCACTTTTATTTTTCTGCTAGGTAATGTAAGTTTTTGGTCATCAGTCACTTTCCGAGCGCCCAACCTGCGGCAGTTAGGCAACAGATATCTCTTCAGTGAATGGGTGAGAGGGACGAGGGAGGATGAAGACGTGTGAGATACTCCTGCCATCCTTGATGTCTCTTTGTATTATTAAGTATAGCACTTATAGCATGATTTACTGAGGAGTTGCCAAATGCAGGGTATTGTGCTAGGTTCTGTCTAGGCTGTAAAAATAAATTGGACAGAATGGAAGGCGAGATAAGGAACTCCCAAGGTGATCCTAGGAAGGAGTAAATGCCCTAAGTGAG